TCCTCAATCCTCTTCCTCTCCTCTCCCTCTCCTCCTCCTCCTTCATCCCTCCTTCTCCTCCTTCTCCTCCTCTCTCCCTCCTCCCCCCCTCCTCCTCCTTCCTCCTCCATCCTCCCTCCTCCCTCCTGTTTCCTCCTCCCACCTCCTCGCAGGTCGGTGGGGGAGGGGGGGGTCTCCCGGTCACGACGCCCAGGGCGCAGTCGCGCGGCGCCGTCAGCGCCGCCAGCACCGACAGCCCGGCCACGCGCACGCGGGGCTGCCCCGTGTGCAGCGCCACGCTTGGGGGGGGGCGGAGGGTATGTCTGATTGCATGGAGGGAGGAGAGAGAAGGAAAGAGGGAAGAGGCAGGGAGGATGAGGGAGGAGGGAGGAGGAGGGAGGGAGGAGCGAGGAGGGAGGAGGGCGGAGGGAGGAGGAGGGAGGGAGGTAGGTATGGAGTGGAAGGACGAAGGGAGGAGAGGAGGAGGGGTAGAGAGAGGGGAGAAGGAGGGGAGGGGAGGGGGAGGAGGATGAGGAGGGGGAGGAGGGAAGAGGGACGAGGGAGGGAGGCGGGGAGGGGAGGGAAGAGGAAGGGCGGAGGGAAGAGGGAGGGAGAACGAAGGAGGGAGGAGGGAGGGAAGAGGAGGGAGGGATGAGGAGGGAGGAGGGAGGGAGGAAGGAAAGGGGGAGGGAGGGAGGGAGGGAGGAGGAAGAGGAGGAAAAGGATGAACATAGGGAGCGTCTGGGTGTACGGAAATCATGCCGCTTGCCTCGCGGCCTTCACGAGCGGCGTGCGCACTTGGGGGCAGAGCTGTCTGGACGAGCGTGCTATACACTCACGGGTTTCGGAAATCCACCGACCCTCCAGGGGGCCATCCAGGGGGCCTGTGATCCTGGACGAAAGGCCTGTACCTCCAACTCGAGCCAGATACTCCGCCAGTTGAAGCAGGACAAAGCGGGACTGATTCTGGATGCAACTGCGTTAGCAAGCAAATGCCAAGTCCGAGGACGAATTCTACCCCCGGGTGTGGCACATTCACGAGCGGGGCTGGAGGTTCCCCAGACGCAACGCTGGGGGAGCGGCGGGGATTTTTGATGGTATGGGGGTCGATCCATGGGAAAACCCTGAACACACCCAAGCAGAATCTACTCTTTCTGTGCTCCCCATTGCTACAGCTGATGCGGCCATCTACGTCTGCTCCTCCTCGTCCTCCTCCTCCTTCTCCTCCTCCTTATCCTCCTCCTCCTCCTCCTCCTCCTCCTCCTTGCGGTGAGTCAGTTTCTGACACCCTCAGAGGACTTCGCTCACCCTCTAGGGTGCACGTGGGCTGCACCCTGGTGGATGCAACAGAGATATCCTTGTGCGCGGCCGCGGTCTTGCCGCTCCACTTCCTCGTCTGACCCCCCTCCCACCTCTAAAACAGGGCTGGGATCGGGATAAATCGCTCAAGAGCGTTTCGGAGCGCTCTCAGAGCGTTCCGGAACGCTCTGGAGCGGCCGCGGCGCCCAATACATCCTCCAAACCCGCCGATTCTCAGAGATTTCGAGTCATCCCGATCCGATGTTGTCCCGATCTTCGCGCCGTGGTAACCTCCCTCCCCCCTCGACCAGGCGGGCAATCTCGCGTCCTGGCGTAGTACATGTAGTGCCCATTCAGGTGCTCGTCGGCGAGATCCTCCTCTCGCGGAGGAGCGAGGAGCGAGGAGCGAGGAGGAGGAGGAGCGAGGAGGAGGAGGAGGAGGAGGAGGAGGAGGAGGAGGAGCGAGCGTCCCTGGGGCGAAGGATCCTCCTCTCCCGCGGACCGCCGCACGCCACCGGCAGCGCGGGCGCGCCCGCGAGGGGAGACGCGGCAGGCGACGACCCAGACGGACGGGGCTCCGGGCCGCGGCGCCTCCCCCTTCGAGGCGGCAGGAGCTCGGCCAGCCAGTGCGCACGGCCCAGCCACGACGCTGGTTGGCCTCCACCTCCTCCTCCTCCTCCGCCTCCGCCTCCGCCTCCGCCTCCTCCTCCTCCTCCTCCTCCTCCTCCTCCTCCTCCTCCTCCTCCTCCTCCTCCTCCTCCTCCTCCTCCTCCTCCTCCTCCTCCTCCTCCTCCTCCCCCTCCAGGACGCTGCAGGATATCAAAAACCGGTAGCCATGGCCGTGCCGCCGCCCCAAGGTTCTCCGCTGTCAGCCCACACTTCCACTCCTGGCCACTCCCTGGCTGATTCCCCCGCTCCGTTCCCTGTTAGTTCTGCCTCCCCCTCGCCCATTCCCTTCCCCCCAAACTCCAGCACCGTCCCGTCCCCTTCCCCAAGCGGGCCTGAGCCTGAGCGAGATCGCATCACGGAATCGGATCGCATCGCCAGCGAATCTTTCGAATCGGATTGGAACCGGCCCTGGCTGGCCCCATCCGATGCCCGTGAATTGATCCAACTCGAACCGAATCGGAATCGCGGGTCCAGCCAGCGAATCGAACCGCATCGATTCAGATCGTGGGCGGCCTGCCCAAATGCCCCCGTCTGGGGAAGCATATGGCACCGATGCCACTGCTCCCCGGACCTCTCCCGTGGTGCGTTCTGGCCTCAGGTTCGAGGCGAATCTGGCCGTGGCGACGAGGGCCTTCCAGGAGGGGCCCGAAGAGGCGAAAGCGAGGGAAGGGTGGAGGTATCGGCCCGGCAGGTTCACGTCGTGATGACGGCGGCGTCGGTTTCCGACACCGTGTGGATAGTTCGACCTCGAACGATCGCGGCTTTCTGGTAATGCAGATCGCTCGATATCTTGCGATGCTGGGCCGCTGGCGGCGTTCAACCTTGAACGCCCGCGCTGGGGCTGCCGCCACGTCAGCGCGGCGCGAACGTACAGTACCTGCTCCTCCTCGGACCCTTGCCATCAGGATCTGGATCCTTTTCGTACCCTGCGTCCCTGTTCCACCTCGATCCCCTCGTACCGTACGTGCCTGTTCCTCCCAGGAGAGGCCCAAACAGGCGAAACAACGACGCACGGGCAGCGGTATCGTTCAGTACATGCTCCTACTCGGACCCTCGCAGTCCTGCTCCTCCAGGCACACCAGGTACGAGAGGCACGCGACGTAGACGGGCGTATCGGCGATAGCCTCCTTCAGGGCCCGCAGCATGCCTCGGCCGCGGATCGAGCGCGCGCGCGCCCGATGCTTGGGGGCGGCATGGGGGGTCTGCGCCAGATGGGCCCCGAGAAAATTGCTCAAGAGGGGCTGGTTGGCGGACGCATTGTCATGCATTAACTTCCTGGCATGTCCACATATTAGCGTTCTGGCTCGAATCCACCGAACATAAAAACGTTGCAGAGTCTTGGCGAAACATAAGATCATCTCCACCCAAAGAAAGTGGGTCAAAAATTGGCGACGCGGCCCAATCCGCACCAAATCGGTCTCTGGATCCTTCGTGGGGCCCATCTGGGCCAGTTTCTCCCCCGTGTCCGTGTCAGACGGTTCCCGGGACCCGAAAGCGGCCCCCAGACCAAACAAAGTAAGAAACTTTGTCGGATCTGGAACCTAAAACCTCTTTCCCCCCCTTCTTGCCGGTCTGAACCAATGCTGGGCCACCTCGGACCCCCAGCTGGCTGCAACATGCTGCCGCGTCGACGCAAATCGAAGCTAAGTCGTAATCAACAACTTCAGGCTAGGTCGACGCAAATGCAACGCGAGGCAAGGTCGACGCAAATTCATGCTAGGCCGACGCAAGACGACACCGAGTCGACAAATAATCGACGCAAATGGCGGCCAGGTCCAGGGACATCGAGGCTGAATCTCGGAATTTCCCCACCGCGCCCGATGCAACCTGTCGTTTTATTATTCGCGACCCTGGCCACGTGGCGCTCCGCCCCCGCCCCCCTCCCCCCCCCCCCCCGCGCCTCGTCCGTTCCCTCCGTGCCACAGGGCTCCGTTGCGCGTGTAAAAAAAAGCTGGCCCCATCAAGACGACGCCAAGACGAGGACAAAGTCGGGTGAGGATACATCGAGTCTCTGAGATCTGGCGGCTCTGGGGGATGCCTCGGGCGCCGCGGCCTTCTCGGAGCTTTCGGGATGGCTCTGAGAGCGTTCCGAAACGCTCTGGAACGGATTTGTCCTCGTCCTTGCCCCGCCTGACCCCCCCCCCCCTCCACTCCACCCCTCCCAGTTTTGCGGAGGTGACGGCCACAGGGTAACACAAACCTCCTGCCGCGCCCGCTCGCGCACACTCGCCATCGCTCGGACGTCCATTCCCTGTGTTTTTTTCGGTTTCGTGCGTGGCTGTTTCGCCAAATGATCAAGGATGCTCCTCGCTGGTCCTCGCCGAAGGAAAAATGCACACGTCCGAGCGATGCCAAGGCACACGCTGACCCGAGGGTGGGGGATCCGTGGTCCTGGCGCGTGGGCGCCCGGATGCACGGATCGGGAGAGAGCACCCCCCGATGCCGCGACGGAGCGCGCCGACTCCGCACGGACACGGGGCCCGTCGCAAATCCACGCGCCCTGCTGATCCTCCTCCTCCTCCTCCTCCTCCTCCTCCTCCTCCTCCTCCTCCGCCTCCTCCTCCGCCTCCTCCTCCTCCGCCTACTCCTCCTCTTTCTCTCGCTCCTCGTCTTCGTTTTCCTCGTCATTATCCTCGTCATCGTTCTCGTCGTCGCCGTCCCCCGCGTCGTCTCCCTCCTCGACCTCTCCCGGGGTGCGTTCTGACCAGAATCTCAAGGCGAATCCAGCGGTGGCCACACGAGGGCATCCCAGGAAGCCGAAAAAGGCGGCAACGAGGCAAGGGGTAGCGGTGTCGATGCTCCTGGCGTTCGTCTTCGTTCTTGCACGGAGAGAGAGGGCGTTCAACGGTGACCAAGAAATCCGCGCGGACATTTAAAAACTTCTCCACATGTCGTGTTTGAATCCCTTCGGGGGTGATGATGGGCAAGGCCGCCACCATGGTCGAGGATCGCTCATGGAGATCGTGGATCGATTTGGCTCAAGCCCTAGAGATCTCACAGAGCACGGGGTCCGCTCTTCAATGGGGAAACCAAGCGATACCGATACCGCTACTCCCAGGACCTCTCCCAGGGTGCGTCCTGACCAGAATTCCGTGGCGAATCCAGCGGTGGCGACAAGGGCCTCCCAAGAAGCCCAAGAAGGGGAAAAACGAAAGAAGAGTGGCGGTAATTAGTAGAGGCCTCCAGGGTGGGGTCCGAGTAGATGGGGTCGGAGGATCTCGCCGCATCGCCGATGCCTCGGCGATGCATCGGCCATGCACTGGCGGCTTCGGCGATGCATCGGCGACGTCGGCGTGGAGAAAGTTGGGCTCCACATCGAGCCGCATCGCCGATGCATCGCCGATGCATCGGCGATGCATCGGCGATGCGGCGCGATCCTCCGACCCCATCTGGGCGGCCTAGAAGCGGTACTGTTCGGAGGTGGCCAAGAGGGGTGCGTCCAAGAGGGGGGGCGCAAATCATGGCAGGCGGCATGTGCGCGGCCCAGGGGGGTGGGTCGGGGACGTAATGAAATAAGAAGAGGCGCCATGAAGTTTGGGGAGATATCATGACCCCCGCCATGATATCCACCCCCCTAGTCATCGCCCCCCTCTTTCGGGGGCGCGCAAATATGGATTCGCGATCCATGGATTGGGCGCGAGGTCGCCAAGGGAGGTGCCCTCTCAAGAATGCGGCCGGTGCCGCCTCGCTCGGCGGCGGAAATCCGCGCCTTCCCATGGACACGGGACCCGTCGCTGATCTGCGCCCCCCATTGCTCCATGTCTGCGATCGCCCGACTCCTCCTCCTCCTCCTCCTCCTCCTCCTCCTCCTCCTCCTCCTGCTCCTCCTGCTCCTCCTCCTCCTCCTCCTCCTCCTCCTCCTCCTCCTCCTCCTCCTCCTCCTCCTCCTCCTCCTCCTCCTCCTCCTCCTCCTCCTCCTGCGGCCTCCTCCTCCTCCTCCTCCTCCTCCTCCTCCTCCTCCTGCGGCCGCCCCCGAACTGTGCCCCCTCCTGCTCTGGCTCACGGGAGTACCCCGGCCGTGGGCCCTCGACCCGCTGCGCCCGCTGCCACGCCGCGCCCCGGCCCCCGCCGCCGGCGCGGCCTCGTCGCCTCTCCCGGCCGTGGCCCTGCTCCTCGTCGTGGCCCTCGTCGTGGTCCTTCTCCTCGCCTCGGTCCTGGTCCTCGTCCGCCGCCTCCTCCTCTTCGTCCTTCTCCTCGTCATGGTCCTGGTCCTCGTCCGCCTCCTCCTCCTCCCCTTCGTCCTGCTCCTCGTCGTGGTCCTGGTCCTCGTCCTGGCCCGCCATCGCTCGGACGTCCATGCCCCGTGCGCGTGTCGGCTTCGGTCGCGTTGCTTTTTTTTCGGGGGGGGGAGGGCAGATGAGCTGAGATGCTCCGGGATGGTCCTTGTCAGGAAGCATGCGCACACGTCCGAGCGATACCGAGCTGCCCTCGTCATCGCCATCGTACTTACGGCCCGCCCGTCATGACCCTCGGCCTCGGTTTCGTCTTCGCCATCCTCCTCGTCGTCGTCGTCCCCCCCCTCGTCGTCGTCGGCGTCGTCGTCGTCGTCGGCGTCGTCGTCGTCGTCGTCGTCCCCCTCCTTCTCGCCTTCGTCCTTCCGACCCCCTCCTCGTCGTCGTCCCCCTCCTCCTCGTCGTCGTCGTCGTCGTCGTCGTCCCCCTCCTCCTCGTCTTCGTCCTTCCGCCCCCCTCCTCCTCGTCTTCGTCCCCGCCCTCGTCCGCGACCCCGCCCGCGCGTGGCCGAGGGCCGCACCGAGGCGCCCGACGGCGCCGGGCTGCGCGAAGGCGGTGACGAACTCGCAGACGGACTCGCGCTGGCAGGCGGCGGGGCGGAGGAGGGCGAGGAGGAGGAGGAGGAGGAGGCGGAGGAGGAGGAGGAGGAGGAGGAGGAGGAGGAGGAGCAAGGCGCGTGGATTTGAGGAGGAGGAGGATGAGGAGGAGGAGGGTGCTGAAGATGCTGCGGGTGACGGTGATGGTGATGGTGATGGCGATGGTGGTGGTGGTGGTGGTGAGGAGGATGAGGAGGAGCGGAGGATGAAGAGGAGCCCCCCCCCTTTTTACTCGACGAGGGAGGAGGATGAGGAGCCCCCCCTTGTTACTCGACGAGGGAACCCACGAGGCCTGAAGAGGGGTGACGTACGCTCGGGCCGAGCTGTCGCAGGACCGTGTGGCCCTCGGAGCCGGGGTGCTGCGCAGGCGTGGGGCGATCGCTCACGCGCGTCAGACGCGAGAGCGGGCAGAAGCATGCTGCGGGTCTCATCTTCTCAGAGAGGATTGAGGAGGAGGACGGTGTTGAAGATGCTGCGGGTGACGGTGATGGTGATGGCGATGGTGATGGTGATGGTAATGGTGATGGTGATAGTGATGATGATGATGCTGCTGCTGATGCTGCTGATGATGATGATGATGATGATGATGATGGTGATGGTGGTGGTGGTGATGGTTAGATTGATGATGATGATGATGATGATGATGATGATGATGATGATGATGATGCTGATGATGCTGATGATCATGCTGCTGCTGATGATGAGAATGACTGACCATGAGAATGAGGAGAAGGCGGAGGAGGATTATGAGGATTATGAGAATGCTGATGGCGACGACGACGACGACGACGACGGCGACGGCGACGGCGACGACGACGACGACGCGGGCGACGTTCCACCTTGAACGCCCGCACTTGCGCCACCGCCGCGGCAGCGCGGCGCGGCGCGAACCCACCGTGCACCAGCTGCACGGCAGAGCGCACACCACTCTGGGAGGTCAGCGACTGCTCGAGCGGTCGGAGAGCGGCGCGCGACCAGCCCGGAGCCTCCCGCGGCTCGCGCCCTGGGCGGCTCGCGCCTTGGGCGTGCTGCCGGGGCGGAGGGACGGGATGCGGCGCGGAGGGTGCCGCCAGTCGGCGCCCAGCGCGGGGGGGAAGTCTCGAGAAGTTCGGGTTCGGGCTTCGAAAATTCTCGGGCGTCGTCGTCGGTTCTCGCCGGTTGTCCGGCCTCGGGATGCGCTACAGCAGCTGCGCCTCGCCGAGAGCGTTTCGGGGATGCCCGCAGCGTCCCGAACGGCCTCCCAGATGGGATCGGAGCGGATTGGGTTGGAAGATCGCGCCGCATCGCCGATGCAACGCCGATTCCTGGGCGAAGCATCAGCGACGTCAGCGGCGCATCGGCGACGCAGGAATGAAGAACAACGTGCTCCTCATCGAGCCTCATCGCCGATGCATCAGCGATGCGACGCGATCCTCCGACCCCATCGGCTCGGACCCCATCTAGGAGGCCTAAAGATGTGCTCGCATTGAGGGGTCGTGTCGTCAGGTCGTCATGCTCGTGCCGTGACGGCTTCGGTAAGGTTCCCTGACACCGCGTCGATCGCTCAACCTTGCCACCGCAGCTTTGCAACAGCGCAGATAGTTTGCTGTCGCCCGAGTCCGATCCACCTGAGGCGTACCTTGAACGCCCGTGCCGGGATCGCGGCCGCGTCGCGTGCTCAATTTGGACTCCGCTCACGCGAATGCGCGCCCCAAATGAATGAACTGTCAGCGCGCACGCGCAAACATCGCCGCTGCAACTCTCAGATCGCGTGCCAAACGTACAGCCTTGGAGGCTGGAACACTCCGAAACCTGAGTCAGAAAAACAGCTTGAGCCAAAGAGTCTGATTGCAAGTGTTTACTTGGAACAAAGGATGAACACATCCAACCTCATGAAGCTCCAAGCAAAACGAAGCGATGCGCATGTAGCGCACCGAATAACATAACCAGGCCACTTCAGTACGCGTCGAATCTCTCAGGGGTACACAATCATGTACCATATCTGCACGCACTCCTTCTCCTCCTTCTCCTCTTCTCCTCCTTCACCTCCTAAGTCATCATCATGGCCGGTCTTGGGAACCCTGGGGCATTCCTGCGGCATTCCTGGGACATCGGGGTTCGTCTTGAGTCATCTGGGGCCGTCAATGGGCCCTCCCTCTCCTCAGCGCCTTGCTTTCCTCAGCCGCCTGTCAGCCAGCCCTCCAGGAGGGTCCCTCGTCTCGGGGGCTAACAGGCCATTCCAAGGTCTTCCCACAGAACCCGCAAACATGGAACGATACGAAGCCGCCTCCTTGCAGGCAGCAACAGTAAGGGGCTCGCAACGCTCTACAACACCTCGACACCCGCTTCTACCATTTGGACTCCGCTCACGCGAATTGGCGCCCACGTCCCTGCGCGTGGCTGACCGCTGCGCAAACACACACACACACACACACACACACACACACACACACACACACCCACACGAGTACGACGCCAGGCTCTGGGGGGCCCGCCACCCCACGAGGCCCGCCGAGGGCCCGCCGCCGAGGGCCCGCCGCCGAGGGCCCGCCGCCGCGGGCCCGCCGCCGAGGGCCCGCCGCCGAGGGCCCGCCGCCGAGGGCCCGCCGCCGAGGGCCCGCCGCTGGGGCTCCTTGCCAGCGGCCTCCTTCAGCAGCGGCGCCACCGAGGGCAGCGCCACGTCGATCAGCAGCTGCTGCGTCAGCACGGCGTCTGCGCGCGCGCGGGGGTGCGCGGCGCCGCGCGGAGCCCTCGCCGCCGCCCCCGCTTCCGGAGGGCGCTCGAGGGATCTCGGGCGCGCTCGGCGGCGGTGCTCGAGGGCTTTGTTGGCCAGCTCGGATCCTCCCAGAGGCTCTCTCGGGGGCTCCTGGTGGCTCTCCTCGGGGGCCGTCGGGGACTCCCAGGGGCCCTCGGAGGCTCCCGAGGGGTTCTCCGTCGTCGGCGTCGCCGTCGTCGCCACCGTCCGCCGTGTCGTCGATCTCTCACCTCCACGCTAGATCTTCTTCTCCTCCTCTCTTCTTCCTCCCGAGATGCCAGAACGAGGACGAGGAGGAGGAAGGGGAGGAAGGGGAGGATGAGGAGGAGGAGGAGGAGGAGGAGGAGGAGGAGGACGAGGAAGAGGAAGAGGAGAAAGAGGATGAGGGGGAGGAAGAGGAGGACGAGGAAGAGGAGAAGGAGGAAGAGGAGGAAGAGTCATCTTGCGCTTGTTGCATATTATGCCGCGATAACGCCCGTGACCGGCCCCGCTCACGTCCTCCCCTCCCCTGTGTCACGTCACGTTTCGCGCCGGCGCCGAGCATTCCCAGACGGCGCCGGGGCGCACATGGTGGCGTGACTGGCCAGATCCCCACCCCCCTCCGCCCCCGGTCACGCCCGCGATCGCCAGGGAATAGAAAAAGCTGTCCAGGAGGGCCCAAAAGGCCACCAGGAGGCCCCAAGAGGCCTCCAACAGCCACTCAGATGCACCAAGGACCGTTCCAAGAGGCCGCCCATCGTGCTCCCTCCCTGCCTTTCCTCCGACTTCTCCCCCTCCGCTCCCGATCTCTGGCGGCGGCATCCTTTCTCTGCCATGATGGTGCCCACGGCCTTGAAGAGCTCCACGACGCCGTTGAACACGCGGCTGCCTGAGGGGCACGGGCTCCGAGGAGCCGACGGCGGAGGCCATGACCCGCCCGCCTCATGCTGCTGCTGCTGCTGCTGCTGCACTCCTGCTCCCCGAGGCTGCTGCTGCTGCTGCTGCTCGAACTCCGCCCGCCTCCTGCTTCTCCTCTCCGCGCTCGCCCCCCCGCGCGTTCGGCTGCACCCACGCACGCTGCCGCTCCCGCTCCCGCTCCTTCCCCCCGCTGCTGCTGCTGTGCTCCCACGTTGCAGCTCTCTCTGTTGCTCCCGCGTCCTCCAGCCCGTGCCCATCCTGCTCATCCGCCTCCTCGGCATGCAGCGCCTTCAGCTCGTGCGCATCATCATGATCACCACCACCACCATCAGCAGAATCCTCACCTCCTCGTCCTCCGAATCATACTCGGAACCATCATCGTCAACATAACCACCAACCAACCCATCAGCATCAACATCAACATCAGCATCGCCATCATCACCAGCAGCATGAGCATCACCATCAGCATCAACAACATCACCATACTATTCATCGCATCGCCATCACCGTCCAACTCACCATGGTCAGTTCTATCAGCACAATCAGCATCACCATCATCATCACCATCACCATCATCACCATCCTCAGCATCATCATCATCATCATCATCATCATCATCATCATCACCATCACCACCATCATTATAATTATCATCATCATCATCATCATCATCATCATCATCATCATCATCATCATCATCATCATCAGTAGCATCGTCATCATCATCAGCATCATCAACATCATCGTCGTCATCCTCATCATCTTCATTACCTTCATCATCACCATCACCAACATAATCATGACCATCATCAACATCAGTATCGCCGCTATCACCATCACCATCACCATCATCATAATCGTGCTCCTCCTCATCACCATCACCATCATTATCATCATCAGCAGCATCAGCAGCATCAGCATCACCACCACCAAGAACAACATCATATTCAATATCAACATGAACATCAACATAATCCTCCTCATCATCCTCGTCCATCTGCTCCTGGACCTGTACAATATTGTCCTCCTGCTGATCCTGCTATTCCCCGGCCCGGGTCCATTCTTTACCATTATGTGTGACTGGCCCCCGTCGCACCACCAGACGCGTCCGTAGGCCGAGCCAGGCGTTTCACCGGTAGTTCTTTACGCTGGATTTGCTTGACACCTACACGGATTAGAGGGTGGTACACTGTCAAGCAACGGCTCTTAACTTAGCTCCACGCACATGATGCAACCTTGAGACGTACCAGCAATTACACGGATGGAAGCCCGCACGTCTTCGGAGTGTATCCCTCGCCTCGAAGCCGCGCAATTTTGCCCTGACATTTCTCACAGCCGCTCAAACGGAGGCTGGTCAGTGGAACTTTCGCCTGAGACTTCCCAAACATCTGCTACCACGACAGGCTCGGCAGAACGTTCCCCTAACGCCAGTCCGCGGGCCGCCGCCAGCTTGTTTAGCGAGGGCGAAACGCTGTGGTTTTCACCACGTTGCTGGCACAACATACCTCAGACTCAGTTACTTACTCCGCGTAGCTTGCACCGCGCAAACTTGCACCCGATGTCTACCTAGCGGCGCCGCCAACTCGAGAGGACTTCTGGTACCGTGGTTCGGGCTCGACACCACGCCCAAGCCAAGCAAAACGTCAAACGAAACCGCGCCCCAATCAGCGCAACGGAAACCGATAGGCTATATATCAAGACACCTTGCGCAAGCAAAGCCAAACCAAGGAAAGTATGAGCAAACAACGAAGACGTCTACGTCGTTGGAGCGCAGCATCATTCAATGTTCTTTCAAATGTTCGGGTTCCAGTGCGGCGTTAGGAACAATCCGGCCTGTAATGTAGAGTTGTGCATTTGTTGTCATGGGTCTTCAATATTGTCGGCGAAGAAGCACCAGCACACATGTGGTAAGTCAAAAAGCAATGATGGTATGCACTCGTTGGCAACATGCTTATGTGTCCATGGGTAAGGCGCCTCCGGCCCGTGCAAACTACCACGAAATCTTGAATGCATACTTTTGCGCATGACTTGTGCTTCTAGAGGACGGAGCAGTCGCGAGGATCATCATCATCGTCATCATCACCATCATCATCATCATCATCATCATCATCATCATCATCATGATCAACATCAACATCAACATCATCATCATCATCATCATCATCATCATCATCATCATCATCATCATCAACAACAACAACAACAACAACATCAACATCAACACCGGCATCAGAACGCTCCCTCGACCCCGTCACCCCCCCAGCGGCCGTCGCTGAAGTCCGCGAGCGCGGGACAGAAGAGAGTCCAGAACCGCCAGAACTCTGCCTCGGCCGGCAAGGGGAGCGGGGGAGGAGACGCCGCGCAGGGGCGGAGCCGAGCGCACCCCCGCAAGGTGCTCGGGCCCCGGGGCCGGCATCAACAACACACACGCACAGATTGTGTGTGCAACGCCACCCCGGGGCGACGCGCGCGCGCCGAGAAACCTTGCAGTATGAGATAAGCTCCGTGGCGGGCGCCTTCTGGCCACGGCGCTCAGGAAACGACGTACGACGCAGCATCCCGCGGTTGCGGATGCGGGTGAGGGGTTGGCGACCACCTACCAGACCACCCCAACCCAACCCGAAGACCCGAATTTGACCCGAATTTCGGGTTGGGGGGTGTGGTTTGGTGGGTGGTGAGTTGGCAGGGTCGTCGGCAATCTGCGAGGCTCTGGAGAAGCCCGCCGCAGGCGCCGCTTTTTTACAGACTTCACAACCAGCCCGCCGTAGGCGCAGACAGCAACGTGGGTGGGCCGCAGGGTGGTCGCAGGGTGGGTCGCGCGTGGGTCGCGGGATGGATCGCTGGGTGGGTCGCAGGCTGGGTCGCGGGATGGGTAGCGGGGCGGATCACGGGTGGGACGGCGACAGCCACAACGCAACAACATCAACAACAACAATCATTTTAAGACTGGTCGCTCTTATCTGCTCGCGTGCCCTTCAACACGTTTATCACAAACCCTCGATGCTCGCCCTCTTCGTCTTCGATCGAACCCCCTTTGGGGCATATCATTTTATAACCTGCAACGTGTATTTCATGCAACATCTAAGCCAGGGGAAGAGAAAACGGATGGAAGGAAGGAACAAGGGGGAGGCGGGTTGCTGAAGCGTGCGCCCTGCACGAATCGCAAGGGAGTCTCGAGCGATAGCGCGATTCCAAAATAAATCGCAGGGAACTCCAAAGAGAGTGTGACTCCTGAGTGTCGAGGGCGCAGAAGAAATACAACGCGAGAGCGCGATTCCTGTATACATCGTGAGGAAGTCCCGCGCGAGAGCTATGCATTGTGAGGGCGCATCGAGCGGGAGCCGTTGTTGTTGTAAACACTTCCCCTTCCAGAAACAAGGCTTGCACGATACAGCGGTTAGCGGTGAGGGAGGCCCAACAGAAATTACGCATCGTGGGTGCGCAGCCAACAGCAGCAACAGCAACAGCAACAGCAACAGCAACAACAGCAACCATTTTTGAGACTGCTCGATCCTATCTGCTCTCGTGCAGTTCAACACGCACGCCTCGAACAAAATCCCGTCCTGCTCGCCCTCGACCGTACGCCCTCGGGGGTGTGCCCGCCTTACCCTGCCGCGTGTACCCGGAGCAGCCCCCGGAGACAGGGGGGAGAGAGGACGGGCGAAGAGAGCGACGCGGGGGAGGGAGGAGGCTGGAGCACGAGAAAGAGCAGCACACCGTCGGGCCTGTCCCTCTGCAGGGGGAATCTCGAAAAGTCGTCCAAACATGGTCTGGGGGCGATCTTCTTACCGTTTTCGGGCCATCGCTCGGACGTCCATTCCCTGTGTTTTTGTTCGGCCTCCTGCGTGGCCTTTTTCGCCAAATGATCAAGGATGCTCCACGATGGTCCTCGCCGAAGGAAAAATGCACACGTCCGAGCGATGCCAAGTTTTTGAATATTTTTGGGATATGTCCGGGCTACTTTTTCATCTTTCGTCCAAACTCCGCCTGTAAGGGGGACACGCCCGAACGAAGATTAGCAGAAGGGGGGGCCCAGACGGGCAGACCGTGCGGGTACACCCTGCGAAATGCTTAAGAAATCATGGGTTAAGAAATTCATAGTCTCAGATCTTGAATAAAAACCCAACATTTCTATTAAAAACTTAGGATTGTTAAGAATAATCGAGACTCTGGCCGAAAACTCAAGTTTTCTTAAGCATCGCCTAAGGTGTAGACCCCAAGGGGCGGGGCGGGAGGGCAGGCCCGGGCGGCCAAGTCGAGCAGGCGGGCTGCTGCAGCGTAAGTCCTGCATGAATCGCGCGGCGGGCGGTACCGCGATTCCCAAGTCATCGAAACGCGAGAGAGGTCAGAGCGAGAGGATTCCGGAGCGTCGAGGGCGCGGCGTCCCAAGATCTGGCGAGGGTGTCCCACTCGAGAGCGCGAATCCTGCACACATTGTGAGGAACACCTGCGCGGAAGCGCAAGTTTGGTCTAAGCTTATGCAGAAGCATCAGGCGGGAGCCGCTGTTCTTGTAAACAGGGGGCCAAGGGCTCAGACTGAGCCTCATGACTCCCCAATGTAGAAGTCACAGTTGCAGGCCCCGGAAGGATAACTTCGGCAGGGCTGAACCTAAACGATGTTTTCCGTTTTCGATGTGTTGTCGTTCTCCCTCGCTTTGTCTTCAATCCGCCTTTGACGTAAAACGAGATCGAAACGAAAACGGCCCACGAAATCACCAAAAACACCGTTTAGGCCCAGCCCTGAACTTCAGTTGAAGAACACAATTGGCACCGGGGAGTGGGGATCATCAGTGTCGATGCTTGAGAAAGGAGAACGCCACAACAACAATCGTGTTCAAAGTGTTCGCTCATATCTGCTCGCGTGCCAATCACAACACGCATACACCCTGCGAAATGCTTAAGAAATCATGGGTTAAGAAATTCATAGTCTCAGAACTTGAATAAAAACCCAACCTTTCTGTTAAAATCTTGAGATTTACATTGCAACATTAAGAATCATCGAGACTCTGGCCGAACACTTGGGTTTTCTTAAGCATCGCCTAAGGTGTATCCCAAACCCTCGATACCCGCCCTCTCCGTCTTCGGTCTTCGACCGTGCCCCCGCAGAGTTGTACCTTCTTTACCTGCGGCGTGGTGTTGGCGCAGCCCGTCAGACACGCGAAAGAAGTACACCCTGCGAAATGCTTAAGAAATCATGGGTTAAGAAATTCATAGTCTCAGAATTTGAATAAAAACCCAGAACTTCCATCAACATCTTGGGATTTACATGGAAAAGTTAAGAATAATCGAGACTCTGGACGAAAACTTAGGTTTTCTTAAGCATCGCCTAAGGTGTAGAGGCCTCCTGGATGGGGTCGGAGTAGATGGGGTCGGAGGATCGCGCCGCATCGCCGATACATCCGCGATGCATCGGCGATGCACCGTCGACGTGGGCAACGCATCGGCGGCGTCGACGTGCAGGAAATGGGTCTCCGCATCGATCCGCATCGGCGCTGCATCGGCGATGCGGAGCGATCCTCCGACCCCATCTGCTGCACCGACCCCATCCAGGAGAGGCCTGGAGGAAGGGAGGAGGGAGGAGACAACGGGGGAGCGAGAAGGGGGAACAGGCTCACAAAGGGCGGAGGGAGGAGACAAGGGGGAGCGACAAGGGAGGAGGGAGGAGACAAAGGGGGGAGCGGGAAGGACGGAGCACGAGACGAGAGAGAGAACTGCAGGAGGCGGGTTACGAGGGAGCAGCGCACGCGGCAGAACCGGACGGGCGGGTCGGCGGGTCGAGGGGGGCGAGGGGGACCCTGACCGGCAGGGCGGGCGGGCGGGCCCGAGCGGCCGGGTCGAGCGGGCGGGTCGCTGAAGCGTCCATCCGGCATGAATCTCAGGGAGGTTCCGAGCAGTACACCCTGCGAAATGCTTAAGAAATCATGGGTTAAGAAATTCATAGCCTCAGAATTTGAATAAAAACCCAGAATGTCTATTCAAATATTGGGATCTACATCGAAACGTTAAGAATAATCGAGACTCTGGCCGAAAAAGTAGGTTTTCTTAAGCATCGCCTACGGTGTAGCGCGGTTCCCACGTAAATCGCGAGGAGATCCAGGGAGAGACCGTGGTTCCCGAATCTTTTGGGGCCACGGCGCCGCAGCAAGTTGCGAGGGAGTAGCACGCGAGAGCGCGATTCCTGGATGACTTATGAGGCGGTGCCGCGCGAGGGCGCGGTTGTGAAATCAGCTGCGAGGAAGCATCAGGCGGGAGCCGTTTTTGTTGTTGTTGTTGTAGTTCGGGGCCCAACAGCGCATTCTGAGGCCCAAGACTGTCCCTTCTCAGGCACCAGGTGCGATCCCTGGGAGGAGCACCCCAATCCAAAAACCCACAAGGGGCACCAAAAGGGCGGAATCAACAATAGCAAATCTTGAGATATGAAAGCCCTACAGCTCAACAACAATCCGGACCGCGGAACCCCACGTCAGCCACGCGCCCACAGACAGTGAGTGACTTTGAAGGGGCCCTGGGACACACACACACACACACACACACACACACACCAATAGCCAATAGACACAAGTAACAGGATTCCCTATACTTTACCATATGTTCCGGGGAATCGACGATCAATTGAGTCTGTGTGTTCTGTCCCTCCTGAGACCTTTTCTGCCTCCTCATGAACAAGGGCTCCCAACTTCGCGCTTCGCGCTGCGCGAAGTGCGAAGTGCGAATAACTTCGCGCTCTCGCGCCGCCTCCATGGAGAAGAGAGGAGGATGAGGGGGAATCGGAGCCGAACCGCGAAGCGCGAAGCGCGAATAACTTCGCGCCCTCGAGGGCGCCCTTGATGAACATGCAGTCGTGTTGGATGGGAGGGGTCACGCGAGAGGACACACGAGGCCCCTCCGAGGGCCGCGCTGTGCCCGGGCCGCGCAGCGCAGGCTGAGGGTGCCCCTGGTTTGGCAGGGTCAACCCCCTATGGGACACAGAGGGACATACTAATACTATACACCCTGCGAGATGCTTAAGAAATCATGGGTTAAGAAATTCATAGTCTCAGAACTTGAACAAAAACCCAAAATTCCCATTCGAATCTTAGGATTTACATTGAAACATTAAGAATAATCAAGACTCTGGCCAACAAATTAGGTTTTCTTAAGCATCGCCTAAGGTGTACTATACAGTCGGGGCGTTGACCTAAGGAACCCTGAATAAGGAACGAGGCCCCTTTTTTCCATAAGTTAAACTTCGATGCCCTGTCGGAAACATGAGGAAAACCTGGGGCAAGCTGTGAAACACTTAAGGAACGCGGAGCCCCTCCCCAACCAAAAGGGTTCCTTCTTCA